CCTCCGCCCCGCGCCCCCCCCCCCACCCGGGTCACTCTACTTCCCTGTAAACCAACCACCCTCCCCTCCCCTCCCACCCTCGAGCACCGCTTGCAGAGGCAATAAAGTCATTGTTACTTCACATTCGTGCATTCTTTATTAATTCATCACACAACTAGGGGGATAATTGCCAAGGTAGCCCGGGATGGGTGGGGGGAGGAGGGAAGGAAAAGGACACACTGCAGTTTAAAACTTTAACTCTTATTGAAGGCCAGCCTTCTGATGCTCAGGCAATCATCTGGGGTGGAGTGACTGGGTGGCCGGAGGCCCCCCCACCGTATTCTTGGGCGTCTGGGTGAGGAGGCTATGGAACTTAGGGAGGAGGGCTGTTGGTTACACCGGGGCTGTAGCGGCGGTCTCTGCTCCTGCTGCCTTTCCTGCAACTCAACCATACGCTGGAGCATATCAGTTTGATGCTCCAGCAGCCGGAGCATTGACTCTTGCCTTCTGTCTGCAAGCTGACGCCACCTAACATCTTCAGCCCGCCACTTGCTCTGTTCATCCCACAATTCAGCCCGCCACCTCTCCTCTCGTTCATATTGTGCTTTTCTGTAGTCGGACATTGACTGCCTCCACGCATTCTGCTGTGCTCTGTCAGCGTGGGAGGACATCTGGAGCTTCGAGAACATATCATCCCAAGTCCGCCGTTTTCTCCTTCTAATCTTCACTAGCCTCTGTGAAGGAGAAACATTTGCAGCTGGTGGAGGAGAAGGGAGAGGTGGTTAAAAAAAAAGACACATTTTAGAGAACAATGGGTACTCTCTTTCACGTTAAATTTTGCTGTTCACATTACACAGCACATGTGCTTTCGTTACAAGGTCGCATTTTTCCTCTTATATTGAGGGCCTGCCGGTTTGGTGTGAGAGATCACTCACACAGTGCCAGGCAACAGATTTCGGCTTGCAGGCAGCCATGGTAAGCCGCAGTCTTTTGGCTTTTTTAACCTTCTTAACATGTGGGAATGGTTTCAAACAGTAGCGCCCTCATTTCCCATACCAAGCACCCATTGGGTTGGCCATTTAAAATGGGTTTGCAATGTAAAAGGAGGGGCTGCGGTTTCCGGGTTAACATGCAGCACAAACCCAACTAACCCCCCTCCTCCCCCACACCCAATTCTCTGGGATGATCACTTCACCCCTCCCCGCCACCACGTGGCTAACAGCGGGGAACACTTCTGTTCAGCAGAGCAGGAACGGGCACCTCTGAATGTCCCCTTAATAAAGTCGCCCCATTTCAACCAGGTGACCGTGAATGATATCACTCTCCTGAGGATAATAGAGAGCGATAAGGAATGAATGTTGTCTGCATGCCAGCAAACACCGGGACCATACGCTGCCATGCTTTGTTATGCAATGATTCCAGACTACGTGCTACTGGCCTGGTGTGGTAAAGTGTCCTACCATGGCGGACGGGATAAGGCAGCCCTCCCCAGAAACCTTTTGCAAAGGCTTTGGGAGTACATGAAGGAGAGCTTTCTGGAGATGTCCCTGGAGGATTTCCGCTCCATCCCCATACACGTAACAGACTTTTCCAGTAGCTGTACTGGCCGCGATTGCTAGGGCAAATTAATCATTAATCATTAAACACGCTTGCTTTTAAACCATGTGTAATATTTACAAAGGTACACTCACCAGAGGTCCCCTGTGTGCCCTCAGGGTCTGGGAGCACGCCTTGGGTGAGTTCGGGGGCTCCTGGTTCCAGGTCCAGGGTGATAAACATATCCTGGCTGTTGGGGAAACCGGTTTCTCCGCTTCCTTGCTGCTGTGAGCTATCTACATTATCTTCATCCTCATCTTCCTCGTACCCCGAACTCTCTTCCCTGTGTGTTTCTCCATTGAAGGAGTCAAAGCACACGGTTGGGTAGTGGTGGCTGCACCCCCTAGCATGGCATGCAGCTCCGCATAGAAGCGGCATGTTTGCAGCTCTGCCTTAGCTCCTTAATTTTCACGCGGCACTGCTGTGCGTCCCTGTTATGGCCTCTGTCCTTCATGGCCTTTGAGATCTTTTCTAATATTTTGCCATTTCGTTTACTGCTACAGAGTTCAGCTAGCACTGATTCATCTCCCCATATGGCGAGCAGATCCCGTACCTCCCGTTCGGTCCATGATGGAGCTCTTTTGCGATCCTCGGACTCCATCATGGTTACCTGTGCTGATGAGCTCTGCGTGGTCACCTGTGCTCTCCATGCTGGGCAAACAGGAAATGAAATTCAAACGTTCGCGGGGCTTTTCCTGTCTACCTGGTCAGTACATCTGAGTTGAGAGTGCTGTCCAGAGCGGTCACAATGAAGCACTGTGGGATAGCTCCCAGAGGCCAATAACGTCGAATTCTGTTCACACTACCCCAATTCCGACCCGCTAAGGCCGATTTTATCGCTAATCCCCTCGTCGGAGGTGGAGTAAAGAAACCGGTTTAAAGGGCCCTTTAAGTCGAAAAAAGGGACTTAGCCATGTGAACGTGTCCAGGCTTAATTCGATTTAACGCTGCTAAATTCGACCTAAACTCGTAGTATAGACCAGGCCTAAGCAAACTGGGAATCAACTCCAAAAAATCCAAGGTCCTCTCACCTTCTAAGTGCCCTCCCTGCCTCTGTAGCAGACAGGAAGGAGGATTGTGGGCATCCATAGGCAGAATCTGACATGAGCGGGTGCAGCACAGGCACAGTAGTTTATACACACATTAGAGACGTGAAGCAGCCAAGCAGGAACCTGAGTATTTATCAGATGGCCAAAGGTCTAAATGAAGTGTGTGATAAACAAAGACACTCAGATAATCCTAATAAGGAAGGGTGGCTGGCCAGGGTACGGGGAGGCTCCAGAGCAGGCAGTTAGGCGATGCCAGTCAGGGGCCCGTGGCTATGTGAAGAGTTCTAGACACTCCATGTGAAAAGAGTGGAGCCTTCCATTGAGGGAACACTCAGTCCATGCTTTCCCAACCCTCAGAGAGCAGTTTGCTGCTCCTCCTGATGGAAAAATCTGAGTCCAGGACACAGCATTATGGTAGGGAAGGCTCCCCAGCCCTCAGAGGGATGGGACACTTATTTCTAAATCAAAATGTATTAAACATGAGTGGCATGAGCCTCTCATGCTGTTGAGCTTCCTCTATGGGAAGAGAGAGGGGACAGAAAAAGAGTGCAGGAGAGTTGATGGAAGTGCCACAAGCAGTGTTGAGCAGCTCCTGCTTTCCTTTGGCGGGAGAGCTTAGAGCAGCGGACGCCGAGTTACCATTTGGCTACTCACCATTTTGCCAGACAAACAGCTTTGTGGATTTCTTCCCACTTCTCCCCAAAGTTCCTGGACACCCAGAGGCTGTTCTGAAAAGTTCAGTAGTCAGACAAGATTGCTGGTTACTGGCTGTGTTACCTCTAACACTTCAAATAGCATCTGGCCTAAAAAAGGCAGAGCCAACCCTCTGAAATGGAACACACATCAGGGCTTCTAAATACAAGGCCACATAACACTCCCTGGAAAGTACCCACTGTATGTTTCAGACTCAGGAATAGAAGTTCATCCCCCAGAATCCTAAAGGGCTAAAGGACACAGCAGCTATGATTTGTCATTCTTCCTCTTGTGGGATGCTACCACCCGACCCCACCAGGTGTCACTACAGAACTCAATCCAGGACATCTCACAGAGCACACTGGCAGCTATGTAAGAAAGCAGAGACGAGAGGGAGTGGGATGCGACGTGTCTCTTACTTCGGTGCTGAGGACCAGCAGGCTGTCGGAGTTCTGCGGGTGGTATATGACCTGACTCTGGGGCTGAAAGGGGAGATCTGTCTGAGCAAAATTCTTAGCATAATCAGACGATCTGAAGATCTTTCCTCCATGACTCCCTCCAGGCACAGGCATGTCCCCCGTCAGAATCACCTAGACAAGGCGCAAGAGGGAGAGCAGGTCAGCGAGGGTGCACATGCCTTCACCGCGACAGTCAGCCTCAGCCGCATCCCCCCGCACCGGCTGTACTGACCTGCTCCAATACAAATGGGTTTTGTGTGACTCACTCAGGCCCCATATCCCGGCAATGGGATCAGAACCTGCACTTCCTGGCAGTGGGGCTCCAAGGGCTTCACAGGCTCTGGCTAAGCCCAGAGAGATAGGCACTATCCCCGTTCTACAGACAGGGATACCGAGGCACAGAGCTGTGACGTGACTTCCCCTCAGTCTCCCAGCAGTTAAGTGGAGTGTTGGGAGCAGTACCCAGGAGCACACCACCACCTCTCCTCTGAACACCAGTCAGCACTGCCATGTGGAGAGGTGCATTTCAATGAACAGAAGTGCATTGCTATGCAGCATGAATGCAGCCTTCAACTGACTCAGGAGCAGTTCCAGGGAGTGCATGCTGTCCAAGAGCACATCAGCAGCGGTCTCCTACCTTCCCCGAGTTCTCTGGGCCGATGGCCATCCCAAGCTCCGTCCGGATGAAGGTGTGGTTAATGAGCTTTGTGATGTCTATGAAAGTTTTTCCATAGTCCTCGCTGAGAGGGAAGAAAGTAGATAATGACTCTTCTAGAGCAGCGGTTCTCAAGCAGGGGTCTGGGGCCTCCTGGCGGGCTGTGAGCAGGTTTCAGGGGGTCTGCCAAGCGGCACCAGTGTTAGACTCGCTGGGGCCCAGGGCAGAAAGCCGAAGTCCCACCACATGGGCCTGAAGCCTGGGGCCCTGAGCCCCACCACCCAGGGCTGAAGCAGAAGTCTGAGCAACATAGCTTCGCGGGGGCTCCTGTGGCGTGGGGCCCTGGGCAATTGCCCTGCTTGTTACCCTCTAATACTGGCCTGGCTTTTATATGCAGAAAACCAGTTGTTGAGGCACAGGTGGGCCATGGAGTTTTTATAGCACGTCAGGGGAGCCTCAGACAGAGAAAGGTTGAGAGTCCCTGGTCTAGGAGATGGGATGAAGCACAGGGGACAAGGTGTCACGGATGCTTCAGGGACAACTACTGGGATTAGAGAGCCTCAAAGAAGGAATGCGCTGGGCACCTCAGAGCAGCTGCTCAGTGCAGCCAGCAGACAAAGAATGGAAGCATTCCACGGCAAGTGGCTGCTTTTCCAACACTCACGCTAGGGAGGAGCCAACCTGCAAGAGTTCCAATCACCCAGGACTGGCCCAAAAGGGAGTCACAAGACCACCAAGCCAGTCCCGTATTGCTCAGCTCCGGCCTACAAGGCTCCTCCCCCCCAAAAAAGGTGTTTACCCAGGACTGAGGATATTCCAGTCTCCAATGAGCCCCACAATCCTTTGCATCAGTGCAGAGGAGTCTGGGAAGCTGTGGGTACTGGTCACTCATGCCCATGTGGAACCAGGGCATGATTTGGTAGAGGGAAGTGAGTGACCGGGCACCATGCGCCAGGTTCACCGAGTGCTAGCTCCTCACTGGCATGAAAACGGTCTCAGCGACTGAACACCCAGATTCCCAGAGCAGCCCAGAGCTGTTCTTGTCACCCTGCAGCACGCCCACCCCACTGGGCTGGGCAGAGTTTCTTTGCATTCCTCACACTCTCCCAGGTACATCAGAGGAAAAGGCAAGATACGCCCAAGCCCTTGGCAATTATTCCCACTCGAGGCATCTCCCATTCCTGTACGGCAGCCCAGCACCCATCAGCTGGGGTGACCAGTTTAGAAGCCCTGCCTCCCCCACCACACCCCAGGAGGCTGCCTGAGCCTGCTGGCAGCTCAGCCTCCCTCCAACTCCTCCCCCAGTGGGTACGCCACGCTTACGGCTGGCCTCCCGCGAGCGAGAGAGAGAGCTGCAGCATCGATAGCCAGACGATGCAGCTCGCCAATTCACTGAGTTAATCAAATCAGCTGCATGCATCAGGCACTGGGGGCCTCACCTCCTGTAGAGTTTGGACTGCTTGAAACTCACGAACAGCAGCGGTAACTTGAATGTGGTCAGGACGAGAATAACCTGGCCAAAGAGAAGACCAGAGCATCAATCTTGGGGAGCGCTCACTAGCAGCCCCTCCCCGAGGCAGCCTGCGAATGCAGACCTCAGCTCACCCCCTCCACTGGATTTACTGACCCTGAGAAGGGGTTTGACAGCCCCTTAAATACCCACCTCAGGACAGTCAGTTAGTGCTTTGACCAACCCTCCACCCCACTCTTACCCCTCTCATGTGGCTTCTCCCAGGGAGAACGGCTTTAACAAGACAGGGACTCACTGGCCAAAAAGGTTTGTATTTGCCAGGGCAGGAAACGAGTCTGCTGGGGAGGTACCCCCAAATCGCAGGCTATCAGACAGTCATCTGGCCTCTAGCCAAATCCAGGGGCAGGTTATTGGCTCAACCCACCTTTCCTCAAGAAACAGCCAATCCCAATGTCTTTAAGGCAGCAAATGCCATGAGCTAGTATCTAAGGATGGTCTTATAGGGGTATACGGCACCTTCACCTCCCAACATGTAGCCACTTCTAGGGTGGAAGGCACCAAGCTACGGACAGCACAATGTACAACACTGATTGGGGAGGAAGGGTTTGGCCAGGCTTTAGGACAAACCATTCCTCCCATGAGAAGGGCCAAGGGATCTTTGATGTCCACAGCCCAGACAAGACCTTGGGATGTAAGGTCCTGCCCAGCAGGCCCACACGTAGGGGTGGCTGAGGAGCTGAGCCAACTCTGCCAGGGCTTGAGCCAAGAACTTCAGATAGGGGCTTGAGCCTCCAAGCTGCTCTGCGAGAACCAGCCTTGTCTGGGACACAGCGGCCGTCTGATGAGGGTGAGGGAGGTTGGCTGCCTCAGCAGTTCTTTCCTGCAGGAGCCCACAGGAGTGTAGGTTGCCCTGCCTGATAAAGACAGCAGAGCCCTGCCCTGCCTTGCCTGGAGCTGTAATTTAGAGGGTCAATTCCAGGGGTTGGAGGAGCAGCCACCTTGCGATAGCTCTACAGACAAACCCTCCAATGGCAGCTGCTCAGCGAGCAGTCCTGGCTGTGAAGGTTTCCTAGCAGCAGCTCACTTGCTCCATGTTCAGACACTTCTAATGGGCATCAGTCACACAAGAGCACGGCTCAGCACCATTCCACTCCTCAAATGCCAGGAGCATCCATAGATCCCAAAGCCTGAAGGGACCACTGCAATGTTCCCGCTAATTTTTTACATCCATGTGCAGAATGAATTTTGTTCTGTGCACCAATATGGAGGTGATGAGTGGCGGAGGTGGGGCCGAGGGGTTTGGGGTATGGGAGGGGGCTCAAGGCTGGGGCAAAGGGCTTGGATGTGGGGGAGTGAGGGCTCCTGCTGGGGGGTGCGGGCTCTGGGGCAGAGGGTTGGGATGCAGGAGGTGAGGGCTCTGGCTGGGGGTATGGGCTCCGGGGCTCAGGGCTGGGGCAGAGGGTTGGGATACGGGAAAGGGTGAGGACTCTGGCTGGAGGTGAAGGCTCTGGGGTGGGGCCAGGGATAGGGCAGAAAGTTGGGGTGTGGGGAAGTGAGGGCTCTGGCTGGGGGGGCAGGCTCTGGGGCTCAGGGCTGGGGCAGAGGGTTGGGGTGTGCAGGCTCTGGGCTGGGGCCAGGGATGAGGGATTTGGGGTGCAGGCTGCCCTGGGGAGAAAGGACTCCCCCCAGCCCTCTCTTGCCGCAGCAGCCCATGGCTGGGGGAGAGGCGCCTCTTCCCGCCGCAGCCCTGCACACCCCCTACCTCTCTCCTCTCCAGTATAGGCCCCTGTGGCTGCGCGCCTGCACAGCCCTGGGGAACTTAGGACCACTGTGATCATCCAGTCTGACCTCCTGCATAACCCAGGCCAGAGACCTGCCCCACAATCATTCCTAGAGCCCATCTTTTAGACAAACTTCCCATCTGGATTTAAAGATGGGCAGTGACGGAGAATCCACCATGCCCCTCGGTCAGTTCTCTCACCATTACAATTTTACACCTTATTTCCAGTCTGAATTTGTCTAGCTTCAACTTCAATTCACACTGCAAATAAAGCATCTATTTTGGAAGCTGGGCTCTCGGAGATGCTGGGACTTCAAGATGGATTTAGCACCAGTGGGCCACGGGCCGTCTCTCAGTGCAGCAGATGAAGGAAGAGGCAGCACCTATCCCTGCCCCACCCCCAAGGCTAACAATGGGGCAGCGTAAACCCTCCATCCCTAGTTCAAGAGGAATGAGCCCCATTGGCCTGCTGGTCATTTCTTACCAGAGCAAAAGGGTGCAGCTCCCCCAGCCCGTCAGGGTCATACAATACAATGCTCCCATTCTAATCTGTATCAACCCTTGTGCTGCCATCACCCCTGGGTATCTTCCACCAATGTCTGCTGCCTGCAGTTTCTCCTCTCTCCAGAGGGGAGGGGGTGTGTGGTAGAGTTTAGATGGGGGGGTTGTTAATTTTAAAATGTTTATTTTTATTTCTATGTATTTAAATGTTGGGCCCCCCAGAGCAAGACAGAGTTAGATACAGCAGCCAATGGGCAGCGGACCCTGCTGGCATGATGGCAGCCGTGGCCTCCAGCAGCCTCTGTAGAAGAGATCTCGGGCTGGTCTACATGCAGGTTTGTACTGATTTAACAAATTCGCTTGGAAACAGATCGTTAAAAGCAATGCAACCCTCCGGGGTGGCACAGACACATCAGGATAAAGGTGTTCTATCGGCGTAGCTCATTCCGGGAACTGGACCTAAATAAGCGATACCAGTTTAAGCACCGTTCTACCAGCATAACTGCACCCCTGCTGTAGGTTATGTAGATTCGTGCCATTTTAACTATAGTGGCTTCTACAGTGATCTAGCTGGAGTGTTAGACCAGCCCCCACTGGGGACCTTCCCAGGCAGGATTAAATGTCTGGGTGCGCAGAACACTGGGAGTGTCCAATACTCACGAATGCTTGTGCTCAAGGTGAACACTGCTTCCAGGAAGTGAAGTTGTGCTTCCCAGCTGCCTCTCCGGCTTACCCACCCCCACTACTGCCCCGTCATTTAGAAGGGTTACCTTTTAAAGCCCGTTCAGATCAAATGCACTACTTACTCCAGTGCTGTCTCCAACCCAGGAGAGTGATACAGTGCCGCTGAAGTCATCAAAGACATACTGCAAGGAAAAAGATTGGAGTCACATCCAAACTTCTGCACTCCACACCCCAGATCAGGCAACAAGCCCCTCTACCTTCTGTCACCAGAGGGGAGAGGATCAGGAGGAATTTGATCTGCATGGTGGAGTACCTCCCGGTTACACACACCATCCCAAGGCAGTAATAACCACCCAGCTGCCAGCCAAGATTTGTCCGGCTCACTGGCATTTCCCCCACTCTCACCACAGGTCGCTAGGGATTTCCTGTGCAGTCTATTGCTGAACCAGTAAAGCCAGGAGACACCCCAGCAGGGGCTTTTTCCCCAGCTTCATGCTCCCTCAGGTGGCTTCCTTCACTGACCCCCACACATCCCCTTACATGGGATGTTGCTGAAATGCCCAGTGGATTCTTGCCACACACCCTACGCGTGACAACTCAGAGTTTGTCTCCTTGGCAGATCTCATGGGCAGGTGTCCTGAGTCCTCTCTCTCAATACCATCTTGCCCCTTCGGTAGTTCAGGGAATGCTGGGCGGCTTGTGCTGGGCAGGCAGAGCGAAGCAGAACTCAAGCTTTGTGGGTCAAAGGTGCTAAGATCAACCCCCACTGACCACCTCTCCAAGGGGCTGACATGCTCACGTTTGAACTACAGAGCCATCTTATCTCTACCCCAAAGCTTTGCAGGGGCCTGGGGCCTTTCCCCTTAGCACTTGATACTCATCAGCGAGTTATTGTAATACGGAAAAAGCGTAGTCAGGTTCCCCTTGTGTCTGCCCTTGAACACACGTGCACGACAGCAGCTCTGCTAGGGGAAGCCGATTTCACTTTTGGTTCTGCTGAAGTGCAGATGCTTGCCCGGTGTGGTCACCCTCACCTAATGGGGCTTCATTGCTAAACCAGGAGCCAGAGCCCCACAAGTGTCATCATGAGGCCTGCGACTGTTTCTAATCCAGTCCTGGGAGAACACAAGAGTGAGCAGCACAGACTGCTCCCAGATCTCACACCCTCATGAGTTAACAACGCCTCTTGTATCAGGGAGCTCCCCAGCAGCCAGTTGGCATCGAGAAGGATCCCCACCCAGAGGGCCAGTAATGGCTGAAAGTTAAGCAGAGCTGGACTCTTCTCCCGTTGGACATAACTAGTCACCCGTAAGAGCAGCACCATGCCGACAAGAAACACTCTGGTGCGTTCGTTTGGCCTTGCAGAGCAGTAAAACTGGGCTGTGCACTTTATCACGAGCACTAGAGTAAACAGCGCAGCCCTGCCACCCTGCAAAGGCATCTGTCTCCAGATAATATTTTCCACAGCTCCTACTGCGTGCCAGGCAGGACCACAGCAAAAGGTGCACAGAACGCTCCCATTAAGCAAGGAGACAAACTGGACCTGGCCTGAAGAGCCCAGAGGGACACGAGAGAGACGAAGCCAGCAGAGCAGCGATACTGGGATTTGGCTAGCTAGCGCCGTGTTAGTGCCAAGGAGGAACCTGGCAATGCAAACAGTCCCCTGAGCAGAACAATGAATGCCATCAGTGCCCTGCCCTGCAGTCTCAAAGGTTGCCTCATAATCTGTTCACAATCTCACTACATTTTGAGGCTCTCCATGTTACAGCTTAGCCAGCACTTTCACCATAAAAATCCTAGATCAATGGCTGAGCTGGACAGGACATAAACCGAGATCTGGGTTGCAGGCAGAGAAATCTTTCCCCCTCCCAGAGCAGTGACTCCGATATACGTGTGCATCTGAGAACAGGAATCCCAGCATTCTACAGGCAAGACCTGGGAGATGGCCAGACAGTCACCATGGAAATACACCTGGGACCTTGTAATGCTCTGTTGTGAGAGGCCCTGAATACCTTGACTGCGACAGGGGAAGCACTACCAGTTTCAACCTCAAGTGTCCAGTTACCTTTGCCGGAGGGGAGCAGAGACCCAGGGAATACCTGGGGGAGAGTGCAGAATGCGGTTTCTTCACAGCCATGGGCACCTCGTGGCCTCAGTAGTGCAGGGGCGGGGGGGTGCCAACACGGTTACTGAGCTATGCCAGACCTGTGCAAAAGGCAGGCTCCTGGGGAGATCAGAAGGAAGACAAAAGGAGACAGGGAGGCCGTGGAGAAGGCTCTTGCACCAAGAATGAGGATGGCATGAAGGACCAGAGAGAGCTGATGCTATACAAACAAGGAGAGGAGTAGACAGAAAATCCAAGAAGTGGGCTGGAGCGAGCCCTTGGAGAGTCACTAGCCTGGGTGACTCTGAAATGGACTCAAAAACAAGTGTGGAGTTTGATGCAGTCTCACCGTTTGGAGTGTGCAGGAAGTGGCTGATGATGTGCTTGAGTACAGGGAACTGGGACTTTGGGAGACAGGGGAGGGATTTTCAGCAGACAAGGAGAGAGGCATGGAGACACAGGTGGGACTTGCCACAGCCAGGGATTGGCAGCAGCCTACACCAGCCGCACGAGGCAGGTGAAGGAGGAAAGTTCTGGATGAGAGGGGGAGGCAGAGGGACTTTCCAAGCAAAGGAAGGAAAGAGGAAATGACATACATGGCATACAGCGACACGTCGGTGTCAGAGTGGTGGGTATGGTACAGTGCAGACAAAGAGCAGAACCTGTGAGCTGCAGAAAGGGGAAGAGAAGTCAGGGCAGCTGTGCCTCTCCCCCCGGGGAGCCAATGCAGCATTATCAGATTCATCTGAGAGACGCCTATTAGCATCTCATTTGAAAAATGGAAAAAATGTAAATTAGCTGCTTGCATGACAGATGGGACGGGGGATACCAGTGGAGGTTACAGACATGCCCAAGTGAATGTAATCCAGACAACACAGGGGCTTCGAGTGTGAGGAAACCCACGGGGGAAATTTACAAATGGTTGGCAAAAAACTGCCCGCTACCAGCCACCTCCAAACACGGAGGCTGACTTTGCATTACTGTCCTAGCCATCCCCAACCCCAGGAAAATCCACCTCCTCGCTCCCCTCCTCCCAGGAGGGAACAGTTACATAAAGATTCTGCTTTGACGCAAGATGGGGAACGTTTCTGCTGAGAGCACTGAGTCACTCCCATGGCACATGGCTCACTCACCCAACAATCCCAACAGGTTTTCTAAACCCACCTCCATTTCAGCCAAGCGAGATCGGGAAGATTCTGCTTCTCTAGGAACTAAGCTGTGCTTTAATTTCGCCAGGCCTCATGCTATGAGGCCATCAAATCAGCCATGTGACAGACAGGAGGCCACTCTGCTATACAGCAGTGTAAAAGACCTCGTGCTTTTGGCCTACCAGTCCATCAGTAGCCAAGCTTCATGGTAGCGTAGCCCCCGCTGCTCAGTCTCTGTTAATAAAGGATGATTTTAAGGGCTCCTCTTCATGCAGAAATGGAAAAGATGGGCTTAGCATTTAATCACAGGTACATTGCAATAAGTTCTTACAGATAGAAGGGGCTCTGTGGATAGCAGCCCTTCCACCTCCTATGAGAAGACGTTTGGGCCCACGGCAGGGGTGCAGGTGCTGAACTAGGAACTCTAGGAGTGGCATCTGCAGCAGCACAAAGGTGGCAACAGAGTTTGCTGTCTAAATGCAGGAGGAGCTGTCTGCATGAGAGAGGCTGGCATACCCAGGAACATCATCATGCTAGAAGGCTAGTGGGCAGATTCAGGGCTTACTTGACTAGAAGCAGGATAGACACTCTTCTTAAGCAGTCAAAACTTGCTTACTCACATAGCTCCTTAGCACAGATGCTGGCAACTCAAATGCATTTCCCCTCAGCACTGACTATCCCTCCCTCAGGGAGGCAGAAGGAAAGCTACTTTGCACTTTATAAGTGATCACAGAGTGTTTAACAGCTAAGCCTCAACACAACAGTGTACAGGTAAGGGGCATGAAGAGATCTCTTCCCAGGGCACTGAAATGCAGCCACCTTTGGGATGGAACATGGCAGACTTTTTTTATTATTTGCATTACGGTAGCATCTGGAGAACTCAACCAACATCAGCATCTCATTTTGCTAAGCACCACACAAACAGCCCCTGCCATGCAGAGCTCACACAACAGCACCAGAGAAAAGGCAGAGGTCAAGGCATAAAAGGTCGTGCAATCCAACTGCAATTAGAGGAAGGCTTTAGGGAGCTAGGACAGCAGTTCTCAAACTAGGGTCCGTGGACCTCTGGGGGTCTGCGAGTCATGTCCGGGGCCGCCAGCCCCACTGATCAACTCCTTCCCCTTCCCTCCCAGCGCCTCCTGCACGCTGCTGAACAGCTGTTCCGCAGTGTGCAGGACACACTGGGAGGGAACAGGAGGAGTAGGGACAGGGCGTGCTCAGGGGAGGGCAGAGGCAGGGAAGAGGAGTGGCAGGGGTGGAGCAGGAGTGGGAAGAGGTGGGGCCTTGGGGGAAGGGGTGGGGCCTGGGGCTGAGTGGGGGTTGAGCACCCCTGGGGAAAAACAGAAGTTGACTTGGGGGGTCCATGAAAATTTTGAAATCAAAATGGGGGTCTTCGGGTTGCTAACGTTTGCAAACCGCTGAGCTAGGAGCTAGCCACATCAGTTGGGAACTGACCAGGACACACAGGGGTTACAGACAGACAGACAGACAGGCTTTGTTGTGCTTTTTTAAAAAAGCAGAAGCGTCCATTTGATCAGCTCTTCTATTATCAACAGTGCTTAGAGACGGAGATTACAGTGACAGGAGCCTGAGCCGTGCTGCTTAGGAGGCATCAGTAGCATGTTCTGGCTAAGCATGCCACGTGTGCGGGGAACGATTTCGTGTGTAGAAGCTTGAAGAGAATCTCCGGCAAAACTAGTATGAAAAATGCCCTTGTGTTTAATATTTCACATCTTATTAGAGATGACTTGACCCTGTTACGTTCATAAGAGCATAGCTAAAAATAAAGGCCCAGATGTGCTGTGCATCTTCACAACCCACAACGTCAAATACGACATCTAGTGAAATAGGGACATTTTCCAAAGCCGTGAGAATGCCCATCACTTCCACTTGTCACAGGAAAGGTTAACGACTTGTGTCCGACAGCTCC